GCTGGATAATCGTACGTTTAACACCATTTTTTTTTTATAAACCTTGAACGAGAAATTAAATTAAGATAGTCAACAAGTCGAAGATAATAATGATTACACATGCTTAAAAATAAGTTAAATATACTAATTTATTTTTAAATTATTTATTTTGTCTAATATTTTTTTAACTAATCAACTTATCTTTTTAAAGTGTCTTTTTAAAAAGTAACTCGTAAGCACGTTCAATTGAAATTTGTTAAGATCCACATTCGGCTTGGGGGTGAATTGGGTTAAAGAAGACACTTTTTATTCTTTTTTTAATTAATAATATCATATTCTATATTTTTTTTTATATATCCTTTTCTTTTGTGTTTTTTGGATTTGTCTTGTTCAAGACGGGATTGCGTAAAAAAAAAATAAAAAAAATTGATAAAAGTGAAACTTAGGACAAAGATTGGGGAAAAATATGCAATTTTTATCCTTATTCTTTATATATAAAAACAAATAAATAAATAAATAAATAAGGAAATCAACACCGAGAATGGTTAAACAGGGACGACAGCCGATAATTTATGAAAGGTCATCAAGAACTAAAAATTAGGGGATAGAAGTGCAAGAAGGTGTGAAAGTTGGGTACAACTGCCATAATTTACCCAATTTTATTTTTTATGTATTATGTAATTAAAATTTATGAATTTTTTCTCTCATGTTGTGATCTTGAATATTCATTTTCAAACGAGCAATGTGATGTTATTTGCATTGAACTATATAATTTTATATTTTTTTTGGAAAAATTGGCCACATTATGAAAGTAATTTGTTCTGGGATATCATTTTTATTATTAAATAGAAAGACATTATTTCAAAAACAATGTCATTTCTGTCGTACTAGGTTGACATTTTCTCATTTGCTAACAAGATATAATATGTCGAGATATTAAAAATTTAGTGGATGAACAACTGATGAGATGGCTGAACAGAATAACATATATCATCTCGTTGCAAATTCATAAATCATAGAGCAAACAAATCGTAATTATAAAAATATATAAAGCTATAAAGTGTAAGAATGCGACAAAAGGTTGAAATTCATACGATGTAGTGTTCTCTTATGGTCAGCCGATTAACTTGGTAATATAAATGAAATGAGTTCTAAATGTATGTGAGGCAAGTTACGAGTTAAAACGTTAGTGGTATGAGTGACACTATAAAATGCACTGGCAACTAGTGTAATTGAACTCGTCCCTAATCCGCACTTGGTGTCAAGTACCTCATCTATTTGCAATGCACATGTTTATGAACAATATATGATCCTCTCGAAGCATACTCACTAAGAGGGAGCTATCCTAGCTTCGTCCAAAGTATCAAGAGTCATTCGTACACCCCACAACACAATCTTTGTGCACATTACTTTCTACATGTATTTTAGATTTATGCTTGCGGTTCTGTCCTTCGTCAATGACTAACTTAAGTAGGGTCAGCCTCGTTCCATGACTAATTAGATGTATTTTTATATCATATTTATTTTCACAAATATCAACGTCTTGTCATATTAGTCCAACTATATAACGTCGCCTTATGATCGCATTTCTAATCAATGGATCTCGCAGCAAGACTATAACCAATGCACACGAGTTAGAACAAGAGACATTTTTAGTGCTTGCCTCAATAACTACTATATCTTAATGTAGCCCGTGGAGTATAGGAATGATCATTGGTAACATCAGGCCAAAGTTCGGTGAGTCGTACTATTTGTACAATCATTTTTTACAATATTAATTGATAATCATATTTGTCAATATCACATTTATCCATTTCAAAAGTTGTTTTTAAAATTTATGGACCAAATTTTGATAACATCAATATTGTTATTCATTATTGTCAATAACAATTGTGCATGTAGATTAATTCAAGTTCGGCAGCAATTAGGCCAAAATATGGAGATGGCATCTTCCACCGGGTCCCACATTCTCTATGTATTCGCATATTCTTTTTTGGGTATAATAATATACAAATACGACCTTTCTTGAAATGATTGATATGAGCATCATCAATAATTATTTATACACTTACAAATCTGGTTTTTCTTCACACCGACGATTTTGCGAATGTTTGGCCACCATTTTATTCTCATTTTATTCCTTATTTTTCCAACTTTTTGTCAATAATAGTGGGCCCCAATCAAAAAATCAGACGACTATGACAAAAATTTGAGGCAGCATCTTTTCAGACATTTTATTGAATTTCGAATTTTTTATCTTTTCACTTCTGCCCTCCATTTGAAATGTTATTCCTTAATTGTAGCACTTTTATCAACTAGAATTTATTTTTTAATTGAAGACAAAACGGTCAAATAAATTCAACGGCTTGACACCGTGTTCTTTCATTTTTGACAGTTTCTTCAATGCTATCGCATCATCTACCACAAACACTGTAGAAAAATGAGATAAGGTAGAAAAAATTGGCAAGAATGAGCATTAAACAGGCGCTATATTTAGCCCCCGTTTGATGCCTATTACCTGAAAATGAAAATAGGGGAAATAGTATTTTTTAGAAAAATGAGTGGTTAAAAAAGAAGGAAAAATTTTCGATTTATGTGTAATATTATTTTATGGAAGATTGTGTGGTTAAAAATAGAAGAGAGAAAATTGAAATTTAATGTAATTTAATTTAATGGGGGTCATGGCTTATACAGAATTAAAATTACTTTAATCTTTCATGTTTTACTTAATCAGATTCAAAACAGTAGCTGTAGCAAGAAAAATAAAATAATAGCAAGCAAACCATAATTCATTCATATTGATAGAGGAATGATTAAACGGTCCTCTTCGAATATTTCCTCCAACTCAAGAATAGCTATAATATCCTGAAGCACTTTGAGCAAAAAGTCAGACAAATGAGAGTTAAATTTCGTGTGTAGGGATGAAATTTGAAGATCTACTAAGAAATGTCGAAAGGAGAATCAATATTTTTAATTCGATCGCTACCATCTGAGTGATCGTGAAAAAAATGGAATACAATAATGTCTGTTTGTATTTGTTCATAAAAGTCAAAGTCGGAGAAAATCACCGCAGCTTTCGTGGATTTAACGTTTTTCAAATGTTTATAACTTGTCGTTGTTTCTTAACCCCCAAAATCGTCAAAAGCCAAAGGCTTCGGTCAACTCGCAGCACTTTTCGAGCGTGCATTACTAGATTTCTTCATCAAAGCTTGACTCTTTCTCTCGTCATTTTCGCCGGAAAACATGGCGTCAAACATTACTATAAGTACCGCAGAAGGAAATTCCGATCAGGGTTATGGCTCAAGAGTTCATTATCAGGATCGGTGGGGGGATTTTAGCAGTGGTGTTATAAGCTCTGAGATTCAAGAAGAGTTTTCGAATGAATTGTTGGAGATTAACAATGGAGTTCCATTGAATACGATTAGAGAAGAAGTTGAAGGAAGTGTATTTTCGTTTGACTTTCACAACAGGGATGATGTTGTTTATGTTGCAGTCGGGACAAGTGAAGAACCAAGCATGGATGCACTTAAGTGGACTCTGAATAATGCTGTGAATCCTTCTTCAACTCTTGTTTTTTTAATTCATGTCTTTCCTGAGACAAAATACATACCTACACCATGTAAGTTCTCTCTCTCTCTCTCGTACACACGCTATAGTGAGAAGTGTGAGTTGGTTTGTGCCGGCCGCCACATCCCGGTTTTTAGGTCGGCCGAGTTGACGAATTCCTTTAAAAGTAGTTCGTTCTGAATGGAGGAGAATGATATAGATATGAAAACAATCATTCAGCGTACTTATCTATTATCGCTTCTGCTATTTTTCCTTTGATAGGCCCGCCCAAACTGTGGATCCCGGGCCATACGTCCCCATGGGCAGGCCTGTCTATAGGGTTGGCTAGGGATCGTAGGGGTGTAGTTCGACACATTTTGACTCCTCTAATGCTTCATACATGCAAACAAATAAATCTAAAAGTATGGAGAGGAAAAAATGTATTGTTCTACAGTTCAGGCAGTGCATAGCTTGGTCGAGTTTTCAGACACTGGTTGCTCTATGTTGTCTCAAAAGTCAAACCAATCATCTTTCAGTAACATTTTCATTAACTAAAGTTCAGTGTTTTTCACAGTTAATTGTGTGACGCAGCAGTGTCTGACAAATAAACATGAATGTCAAAGTAGCAGGTTATAGTTAGGTAGACAATTAACAGAAGAATAATCGGTATAGTACCTGAGGTTTCATTTTGTAACCCGAACCATAAGAAAATCTCATTTCTCGAACATTGACTGATTGAGTCTTGTAAGCAGATATAAGATCTTGTCTACACCTTATCGTGTAATTACAATTTGATTTATGTTGCGTTTGTTGCCATCGACTCAAACGAGCTAACCTTGAAACGGTATGGGAATATGTATATCCCTGTGTGACAGTGGGAAAACTTCCAATTAGTCAAGTGAACCCGGAGCAGAAGGAGAACTACACGGCCCAAGAAAGAGGAAAGAGGAGAGAATTCCTCCAAAAGTTTCTTGATGTCTGTATCGCTTCCCAGGTATGATATACTCTTTTGTTTACTTGTACCAAATGTCTTAGTGCACACACAACTAGTATGGCTATGTCCACAAAGAACTGGCATTAGTCGGTCATTGTTACGAAAAAAGAGAATTGAAAACATATAAATTAAGAATAAGAACACAATTTAAGTAGAAACCCAAGATAGGAAAAAATCACGGATGGAAGAGGAGAAATTCATTATATCAAAGATAAGTACAAGATGTACAACTACTCTAAATATATATAATACAATGAAACCCTAACATATAATGAAGTCCTAACAGAACAGGTCCATACCTAGGGATATGTGGTAGGGTACGAAATCTGGCCTAGCTACCACCACGTCCCCCTTTTCCTCATAATTCTAGTTTCACCAAATATATCGCACCGTGGGTTTTCGGGCCGGGCCAAACAGAGTCACCGTACTCTAACAATTACCGTACAAGAATATATACCTGCGGAGATTCAGAGAGTCCTTTAGAAACGAAACCCGGACTAGACAAATGAAAGAGGACAAAGGTTTTTTATTCCTTAGCCAAGCACGCCTATTAAAACGTCTCTATTACAGAACCAAAGCGTTGTGCCCAAGTCGAAGTGGGTAGCATTGGATTAGTGAGCGATGTGACTTTCCGCCATACCCGTGATGAAACCTTGTTTACTAATGAATCTATGCAGTCGATTCACTCAGTACTGTACAATGCACCAATAAAAATATTGAACGTTCAAAAACATTAAACATATAGTTACGTGTTCAAGTTATTTGGAGAATCACGAGCTAATAATGTGCTTCTATGTAAAAAGGTAACTGTGGACACCATACTTATTGAAAGCGACATGGAGGCAAAAGCAATACTGGACCTCATTCCCATCCTCAACATCAGAAAATTGGTGCTGTACACCACTAAGTCTAATCTAAGGTACAATATCACTCCATTCAACCATCAACTTTTGAAACTTCTTTTTCACTTTTTATCAATCATTATCAGATTTCAACCTTTTTCCATCGTTAAATATTGCGTTTTAATTATTTATTATACACGATCGTTTTAGGAAAATGAGGTCTAAGAAAGCTAGTGGTGGAGCTGATGAAATACTACAAGATGCACCAGAATACTGTGAGGTTAAGATCATATGTGGAGGAGATGAAATAACTGACCCGAAGTTTGAGTCCCCTTTTGCCTCTCCTGCTCCCTCTCCTCGGGCTGCGGATCGAATTCCCAAATCTGTGCAAGAGCAAGAACAAATCAACAATGATTCCATTGCATGTGGGTGTTTCAGGCCTAAGACTAGATTCTGAATGCTAAAAGAATCATGCACCAGTAGAGCAAAATGGGAATTGCTCGGATGGGAGATCTTAATGTGGCTTCATTTTTGCTGTTTGGAAATTAACCACACTGTATAAAAATGATTTGAAAGTATATGCATCAAAAACTTCAAAACTTGATCAGCAGATTTCTTTTCGTTTGTACCAAAATAAATAAATAAAAATATCTTTCTTTCAACTTTTCAATCTTCCTTTCGTTTTAACAGAAGTCCTCTTGCAAAATCCAAGAGCGCATACCCGTTGAAAAGAAAGGAAGCCTTGGAGTGTGTCAGAATAACCGAATATCGAGTCTTATAGTGCTCATCAGGCTTCAAGAAGCAGACTAGATTTTTCGTTCCCTTGCATTTTCCCTCAATTTACTTTTGAATTGTACTGATATTCATAATAGTAAATCAAATTGCCAATTACAGTACTATGGGATCTACATGTAGCTTACAGAGGATTTTGCATAGTGTCTGAGCACAAGACAACGAAACCAGACATTAATGAAGCAGAACCAAGTTCTTCTTATTATATTTACAGGTACGCGACCTGGAAGAGAAACAAAATAACAATGGATTAGGTAACACGGCTAGTAATTTCCAGTTCAAAGATCGCAAACTATCTGAATTCCGTCCTACATTGCCTTGCATTCAAGAAAAATTTCCAGAATTATACATGAAAAATTTTATAAAAACTGAACTTCTATTGTTAAAGTTCATCCTGTGGTCAAATGCAATCCATCCGATGTCCTCTCAAAATAAGACTGCCATGCGCTGCGTGCGTCTAGAACCGTGCAGTTGACCAAACAGATACCCTCGAGCCCCAGATGCCGAAGGACAAACCTCTTATAGAGTTCTTGAGGGAGGTCAAGAACGATTGATTGGCATTCATATACTATGACAGGCAGCAACAACAGATATCTAACTTTAAATCAACCCTCCATTACACAGAAATCTCGTGAACCTGATCATTAACATCCGGGATGTCCACAACATTTGTTCTCCGTAACTTAAGAACAAATTTCAACAATACCACTATTAACTAGAAGAAATCAAACTCCAGATATTTATCACTTTTTTGATCTGGAACATTTGCGGGATGAGCTGTTTTTCCATTCACTGAGGGTGGTGGAATGGTTAGTCTCTCGAATTCAACAGGCTTTGGGATTTCAGGAGGGGTGGCACAGCGAATCAACGCCCAATTAACTCCTTCAAAGAAAGGGTGTTGTTTAATCTCAGCAGCGCCTCTTTTATGAGCCAACCTATGCTGTGGTTCTTTCACTAGCAAACCCCTGATCAAATCCCTAGCGGCAAAACTGACAATGGGAGATTCTGGGAAACGAAGAGGCTGCCCGACAACATTGAATAATGTAGCTCGATTACTAGATCCTTTAAATGGAGTTTTGCCAAACATAAGTTCATATAAAAAGATCCCAAAAGTCCACCAGTCCACTGCACTTCCGTGACCTTCACCTTTGATAATTTCAGGTGCAAGATATTCATGAGTTCCCACAAATGACATTGACCGAGCATTGGTAGGTTCAGCAATCAGCTCGGGCAATGGGGTAACTTGGTTTACAATTTCATTTTTGGGCTTACGATTTTTCTTGGATTTGCTAGAAAAGAGACGAGGAGAGAAACATGTTGTCGGAACAACACACGATGGCTGAATGCAGGCAGGTTCAATGCAAGCTGGTTGGACGCAATACGTAGAAGTTTTACGCACTGGCTCTGACTCCAAGGATGCAGTCTTGACCAAAGTTGGACTGACAGCACAACGAAGTGAAAGATCAAAGTCTGAGAGCATTACATGTCCATCATCCCTCACAAGTACATTCTCCGGTTTAAGGTCACGATATACAATCCCAAGCATGTGTAGATATTCCAGAGCAAGCAATACTTCTGCAACATAAAATCTGACAGGGGGAAATTAGTAAGTGCCAGTGCACTGACTGGTATACAGATTTCTAACATAAAAGTACATGTGCATTGCTTGAAAAGGTACTGCTGATTATTAGATAGATCACAAGATGATATCATCAAGGATCAACTTTCTGATAATAAGAAGATTACCATAAATATGAAATGCTACTCCAAGATTCATGAGATTCAGCTAAGTCAAAACCATAAATGGCAAATACAAAGATGTATTCACTATCAACCAATATGCTACTACAATTTTAATCAATAGCTCGATTCTAATCCAACCCACACCAAAACTTACTCTCATGATGTGATGATTACTATGAAGAACTACAACTGCAACTTAGAGAAGTCGTGAGGCCTCTGATTGAGCCATAAGTTACCCAACTTCCTGAACTTTGAGATTGAGGAATAAAACAATTAAATACTAGACACTCAAAGTAAAACACCGCTAACTTCCAACATCTAGCAATGGCTGTTACTTCTGATTACAGTTCAGTTTCAATCTCAAGGTTATAATTTTTTTAGTTTGGCGCACTATATTATATCATGTAAAATAACAAGACAGAATTCTCACACCTATTCATATCAAATCTGATAGCTAACAACACTTTTCAACGATTCAACTTATGAACCTAACCTAAAAGCTAATGCAGAGAAAAAATTACCATAAAGTTAAATTGCATGATGCAACATATTCACTGTTTAATAAAATGCAGAATGACATAAATAAAAATTTTACTCATCACTTAAGTTGTGAATTCATAAGATATACCGAATCTGAATGCATTTAGAAGAGTTCACCTCATATTAATTTCTATTCAAATAAGACAGGATTATTGATGATGATAAGCAATTCATCAGATAGAGGTAGACAAACAACAACATATAGGGAAAGATTCAATTTTTAACATTGACGGGAGAGATAATATTGGAATTGATGCACTAGAGACAATTCATGATTATATGTTAAATGGATATTCTGATATGTAAGCCAGCCTATCTACAGATGGGGTGTATGTTAAAAGCTAGCTGTTGCAACATTTTAAAACAGGCAGGATTTGTAAGCATTATAAACGATCAACAAGATGACTTAGAGCTGAATTCAAGAGCCATAAGAGTAGAAAGGATTCAAGTCTACAACCATGATTTGCGAGACTACATTATACGAACATTGGACAGTAAATGAATAAATACGCAAGATTAGAACAAAATAGAGACAGGTTTTATGAAAATCTTAGTTCAATTTGAAATATGATTTGAAGATATCATACTTCACTGCTTGTTCGGTAAAATATTTTCCTGGCTGCCTCTGTCTAAGTGCATGTAGGTCTCCTCCAGGACAGAATTCCATTACCAAACAAGAAAACTTATCAGTCTCAAAGTGGGCGTAGAGAGTTGGAAGAAATGGATGGTCCAGAGACTGTAGTATCTCTCTTTCCGTCTGAGCACGAATAAGCTTCTTACGACTTGCTAGAGATACTTTGTCCATAACTTTCATAGCAAAGTGACATTTCATTCCACTCAACTCGGCCAGGTAAACACTCCCAATATCTCCACAACCTAATCTCTTCAGCAGCCTAAAATGGCTCAAACCTAGTACCCCATCACGGATTCGGACAGCTTGGATAGCCTCCCAATTCAAATCATTTGCTTTATGGGGTTTGTTGACACTACTATTTAAACTGCTACAAGTGCTCTCATCACTCACGTCACTACTCTTGCTTCCTCGACACGTACTTTTTTTTCCACTCTCAATGAAATCGGCACGGTCACTTATTTTCACACTTCTATTCATTTTCGCAGGACTGCAGCGTCCATCACTATTCTTTGCAGAAACTGAAGTATTCTTCACGCTCCCTTGCTCAGCTGTTTTCTTTTCCAAATAAACTGAAGTTTCCTGAGAACTTGTAATCTCATATACTTCGGGATCTACATCTGTTAATACTTGTTCATCATGTGTCGAAGAAATATTTGAATCAGAGTTACCAGTTGGAGAATTGGTACACTGTGTAGAATTAGTCAGCAATCTTTTGGTCTCAGTAGCATCTAAGAGAACCAGCCCTGTCAATATACCTGATTCTTCATATTGTTTGCAATTAACCAGCTTGGATTTGGTCTGCTTTGAGACATCAGACGGTAAAGATCTGCAATCATTTGCTTCAACCGTTTCCTGAGAGCCAATAGTGTTCCGTTGCAGTTCTAGGGAAGGTCTATTGCCAGTTTTTGGGGCCATCTGAGAAACAAAAACAATCTGCTTAAGCGAGATCCAACTAATATCTTTTCATATTTTGCATCAACTGTAAAAACCATATGGTTTCAATTAACATCCAAATGTTTATTCTCCATCTTGTCTAAACACTGATGAGCTTAACTGCAAAAAGACACCTTCTTGAATTCATATAGCGGAGTGCAATTGAATTACCACATAGCTAGAACGGCAGTTTACACCGTTTTAAGCTAACAACATGAATCTAGAAAACGAGTCGAAGCATCAAATGTAAATCAGACTTTATAACGCAATAGACTCCAAATTTACATTTTTCAAATACTTGATCCCAGTCTCAAGACAGGGGATCGAGATATCAGAATTCTGAACTGTCCTCAAATTGTAGCAAGTTAGCCAATGATAAAAGATAATCAACCAGGGCCTAAATTTTAGTTATAAGCACGAAATTTATATGATCAAAAGGCATCAATTCAAAGCTGCAGGGTGTACTTTATTGAATTCCTTTAGAAAAAGAAATAGTAACTGAGGAAGACGATGCTAGTCAACGAAACGACTCCATTTAGACACTTCCTCCCAATGAAGAGGCTTTATAAATACAAAAACACTTCCAGAAACCCATAAAGATGAACTCCAGGAAAAATCTACAAACAAGTGCCAAGGATCACCCAAAAGTAAGCCAAAAAGTAAAGATGGAGTCAAGCAGGTAAGCTAATGAACAAATGCAGAAGTTACGTAATAACATGCAACTATTTAACCTTCAAAAAACAATTCACAAAGTGTCGTCAACTCAAGAAAAATTCGATCTTGACAGTGAAAGAGCAACTAGAAGAGAACTCCAAACTCAGATTCGAAATAAGTAAAGGGCCCTTATAGAAAACAAGAATCTTGAGAAAAGATAAGGCGCAGGCCTAAAAGGAAGAGAAGTCGAGAGGGGAGTAAAAGGCAAAGGACCAAAGTTTGCCAGAATCAGAAGGCCGCAAGCAAATATCAGGACTTAGATTTGGCAGTGAAAAGAAAGTCCGCCATGGCCCCATTCTTTGTTCCGTCCCATTTATTCTTTTCAAATCGTTAACCTGCTTGTAAGACTTACAGCCCCTCACATGAGGGGCCCCACGATCATGCAAGCTGTAGCAAGCATGATTCTTTTTCAAATTCATATTTCTTTAAATTCATTTTTAATCAAATATTTTCTTAATAAAATAATTTTATACATGAATACATAATTTCTTGTACTCTTAGCCCTTGTTTGAGTAACATTATTTTGAAAAAATATATTTTTGAATAATGTATTGATGAAAAATATATGGTTAAAAAATAAGAAAAAGTTTTGAATTTACGTGTAATATTATTTTATTGAAAAGTGTGTGGTTGAAATGATGTTAAATCACTATAAAAAATGTATTTTTTTCAAATAATGTGGATCAAACAATGCCTTAATTACACATTTTTCAAAAAGTTACTTTCACTAATTTTATTACAAAAAATCTCTTCCAAATATGGATTAGAGGATGGTCAAAACTGATTGAAGCAGTTGAGTGTACATTAAGGCCACGTTTGTCCCATTTTTTAAAAACTAATTTTCATTCACATATTCTTCAATAAATTAATATTGCACATAAATCAAAAATTTTCTTTATTTTTTAGCAACAAATTCTCCTTAAAATTACTATTTCAAAACTCGTTTTCTCTCAAATTTCCATTGAAATGGAGCCCAAACATGATCTTGTATAAACCAATCAAATTTCTAAAAGACCAAAACCTTCTAATTTCATTGTCGTGACTGGCTGGGGAAATTATAAACCTTTCGTCTTTCAAAATAAGACAAGGTGGCCCCAACATCGACTAGTAGCAAATTTTAAGGATCATTTCTCAATCTTTCTCTATGTGTATGCGCATTAATGTGGCGTTAAATGAAATATATAATTAAATAAATCACTTAATAAGCGTTAAATGAAAGATATAATTAAATAAATCACTTAATTTTAAATTTTATTGAGTTTATCACTTAACTCGACTTAGATTAATGTTATTCGTGGGTTAAGGGATCAAATCTCTTCATGTCCAAAGCTGAATAATTAATTTTTGAAGCCTGATTAAGAACCAATCAAACCAGCCGTTGGATTTTCCAATATTGACGATTTACTAGGGCTTTAAATGGTTTAACTGCAATACAGTCGACAATGTATCAAGGCTTTAACTGGTTCATTACGGTCTCATCATCTAAATAACTTGGCCCGAAATGCCAAGTTCCCTTTTGGCTTGCTTGGATTTCATTGTTTCTTTTCACAGATTTCGGATGGCACCATTTATGAGAATTTGACAAAATTGATGTTTGCTATTTTTTAAGCAATGATTTTGTTGATTTAATTGTTGAATTTAATTATAATCATACTAAGAATTAAAAATCACATAATTATAAATTGATAGCTCAAATTCGGAAGCCATTGTTGATATAAATAGTAGCAGCTAGATCTTCCTCTCCTTACTCTTCACAAAGTATTAGTCGTTAATGGGGTGAGCTAATAAAAACAATATGGAGAAGAAAAGGAGCTTTGCTTTTATATAGGAAATTATCAAGCCGTCTTATTATGACTTAAACTCTAATTAGGGTTTACATATATTTTCGGTCCATATACTTAAAAATTACCACATCATATTAACTATAACTCGTAAGGTGTAAAAGGCCCAATTACAAATATTATTATGAACCATACATCTAACCCGTAAAATAAATAATCAAATATGAAGCCCATATTAAAAATATTCCAACGATAAAAAAATTCAAAATCAATATAGTTTAATTTTGACCATTTCTCTAAACCCAGCAAATCAGTAGATTTTGATCGTTCATTAGATTCTCTCCTAAATAACTTGGTCTGAAACGCCAATTTCCTTAAGGGTTTTCACAATTTTGGATGACGCTGTTTATGAGAGTTTGGGATAGTTGATGCTGCTAATTTTTTTTCCTTTTCTACAGTAGTTTGGACAGTTTACCTTTCTCACAACCCACCAATTCCATGGGTTTTGACCATTTCTTAGATTCTTTTTTAATTAGGGAAAAATTTATATTTAAGGTATATTCTTTACACCATTTCAAAAGTGAGGTAAAAAGTTTAAAAATTCAAAATTCAGGATTATATTTAATTAATTGAAATTATTTATTAAATAAATATATTAAAGTCATAATTAAACAATTAATGATCACAAATTTCACAGATTCATTTACTAGTCACATATCATCAAATTAATTGGTCACGAATTATTTTGAGGTCACAAATCGAAAATTTTGTAAGTCACATGTTTTTTTAGTCACAGATTATCAAATTTTAAGGTCAAAGACCAAATCGTTAAGGTCACAGATTATTATTTTAGTCAAGATCGTCAAATTTTAAAGTCACAGATCAAATCGTTGAGATCACAAAATATTGTTTTAGTCACAGATGTCAAATTTTAAAGTCACAGACCAAATTTTATGGTCACCCCCACCACGAGTCTCATCTAGCATCAATCTTGATCATAAAACACCTCCACCCAATCACCGCTTGCACCACACCCAATGCCGATCCAATTCTACCGCAAAACTTGGTCACAAACACTATCCATCACCACCATTGCACCCCTATCATGTCACAACAATTTGTCAACACCACAACACACTGCCTGAGCCACAACTGCACCATCGCATAGTACCACACCAATATTGCACGCACCCAACCACCGCACCACCACCTTTACCTCCACCTCCACTACACACCTCACTGCACCATAGTACCACCAACGCACACAGTTAAATTTGATAGCGCGATGGATCTGCTTCACCGTCCTGAGCAGAGAGAAGAGGTGCTCACACGCTAGGCAAATGCAAAGGCTCTTGCCTATCACCTTGCATAGCAGCACGAGGTCGCTACTGTACATCGTGATAGCAGCGCCGCCGCTGTAATCAGCTTTGCTCGATGACGCTGCTGGAAAATCTCAGCCCTCACAGCACCACTTCTATCACTGACGGACGTCTTCTCCTTGCGTAAGACATTTGCTCGGCAATGCTAGAACAGAGCCTCCACCACCGCAGTAGCATACGCGGTCGCTTAAAATTGGGGCCGGTGATGTCAAAGCGCCGCTCGTATCTGGGCCGCGCCACCACCGTAGAGAGAGAAGAGAGTTTATGAAGAGAGTAGCGGCGCCACTACTACTGTCGTGTGTGTGTGTGTGTACTGTTTAGAGAGAGAGAGGAGAGTTTAGGGTTTGGCACATAGAATTTCTCTTGGCATAATTCGGTGGGG